CCTCAAATGCATTCTGAAGTTGAACGTGTGATGCCATGATCTCATGACCAGCCCCTGCCCCTCCGCCTTGTCCAGCAGTAGTGCGTCTAGGCCCCGCGCGCTTACCTTCTCCACTGGGGCCCCATTCATTTGAGGCTCGTCCAGCCCCCATGCAAACGACTAGCAGCTGCCACGCACTACCAGCTACACGACCAACCTTTGCTCCCCACCTTTTTCATCCACACCTCGTCATGGCCCCTCACGGCTGCCGCCTCCCCTCATTCTCCGGCCAAGCTGTCACGACCAGTCGTGCCCCCTCAGATCCAAGACCCTCACCCTGCTCCCCCGCACTCTCAACCACATCGACACCCCGCGACTGCCTCCTCCCCTCCATCTGCAGCCATAGAGCGTCCAGCCGATCCTGTAGTAGCCCCGTCGCCTGTGTGACTTCATAAGCCTCCACCTGTCCGCTCCGGCATTAAAACGTCTGTCCCCTCCTTCTCCGCTCCAGTCGATGCCGCCTGCGTTTTCGTCGCATCTTCACCATCCTCCCCTGCACTAGTACTTTGGCAGAGGGTCATGCCATTGCGACTTGGAGGGTTTCAAAGCTGGATTTTTCTTAAAACATTCATGCTGTTCGTGGCCAAACCGCTCACAGAAGGCGCAGAATGCCGCCACTTTTCGTACTCACCATTTGCCAGAAAGCCGTACTCCTCGTCCCCTACCGCAGATTCTCTTCATAGGCTCTTGGGCTACATCGACCTCCACCAACATCCTTGCAACAGACGGCCATCGCAGATCTCCCGTGGCTGTGTCTACCTTCAGTAAACGACCTAGCATCGATGCCAATTTGTGAAGTGGGTTCTTCCAAAGAACGACAGCGGCAACCCCGAAAATTTCACCCACACCGATGCAATCGAGATTTCTCTATTAGCTCTGAAATCCAACGACCACTTAGAGATCGTCATGGGTGAGCTCTTGATGAACAAAGTGCGCCGAACGAAAAGCCGAGTGTAGTCCTCTTCTACTGATGGCCTGAGAAGAACATGGTTCGTCGTCTAACAACGCCACCGAGCAGTCAGCCTTCAGACCTAGTGTGAGGATGAATTTTCGTACCAACTCCATAGGCGGTCGACTGTAAGAGAACCTGCCCACAGAGCATGCTAGAACGGCCTTGCTAGTTCCATGACTTCCTTCTTTGAGATCCTGAGTGATGGCTCCCCCTCTAAACGTAGCAACAATTCTCGGTTGAAGCACTCCGCATTATCAGAGACCACAGCAGCGAAGCTCAGGGCGCGCACCCCCCACAGTTCCGTCCAGCGGGGGAATTGCCGCCATGGCGGCCGACCACCACAACGAAAACCCTAGTTTTCCTTATTTAGTTTCTCCTAGCCGTGTATGTCTGCCGTCGCCGTCCCCAATGCTATGCCTAGTTTTCATTTGGATATACTTAAGCTTAGGGTTTGAAGAGGTTGAAACTTGGTTCAGGGATTTTTTAAATTTGTTTAGGTAAAGTTGCCTTTTTTCTATTTTAGGGATATTTTCAATGAGATCGAGAAGAGGCTTTGATCCCTGATCAACACATTGATTGTAGGCCTCCATTTTCATCTTCATTGCTGGAAGTTTGAGAGGATGAGATATCATTTTCTAATTGATTGACATAAACTTCTTCTCGTTCAGAATCATTAGTATCTGATTCAATGAGAAGATTTGATATTTGGGTTTTGATTTGGTCTTCTAGTTCTAGAGCATTGATTTTTTGGTTGACTTTGCAATATCGAACTATGTGTCCAGGTTTCTAACAATTGTGGCAAATAATTATAGTTGGGCTGATCCAAACTAGGACTGTCAATGGGATTGGCCCAGCCCGAACTCGCCTCGTTCGGCCAGACAAAAAGCCGATGAGCCCGACCTTTTAGTGAATCGGTCTAAACTTGAGCCTAAAACTTAGGCCGAATTAGATATAAGCCAAGCTTGGGCCTCATTAGACTCATACCCGATATAGACCCGACCCTTTCATTTCTTATATATATAATATTTATTTGATATTATATATAATTTATTATCCAAATATATTATTACTAATTACTAAATATATATAAATAAAAAATACAAAAATACATCTGAAGACTCTTCCATGAGCTTTCTTGAGAGCTAATATTAGTAATGCATAACTAAATCTCTAGCTTTTCTTATTGGTTGAGTAAATTTTTGTATTGGCATAATATTGGTTGATTTTCTTTTTTATCTAGAAACACAAATCATCAAGCATGTTTGGATTCAAATCACAAGGTTTATAAAAAAAAGTTTCAACTTTTAAGATATATTACTTATGATCGCATATTTTATTACTATTTTTCATATATTTTGAACGAATTAAATATAACTATTGTTGAAAAATTTTGGTTTATATAATTTTAAGAACTATTATTTATTCATGTTTAGTTTTAATATTATAATCTTGTAATGTTAAATTAGTTTTACAACTTAATAGTTATAGTAATTAATTAAGAAAATTAAGGAGTAATAAGCGAGTTTGGGCTAAATCTAAGAGAATGTAATTTGTACAAGGTACTTAAGAATAAAAAATTACAGACATTTCCAAGCGCGCAACAATTTACTTTTCTGTTTAATCACCCGACTGGGTACTCTCTAGGTTAGTAGAGACACTTTAAGTCATCACGAGAAGGCACAAAGCACTACTACTTTCATTACAACAGCCTCCATTTTGAACTATTTTCTTCAGTTCCCAAATAGGTTTTACCAGTACCAACTACACATTCTATATCTGGTCATTTGACCTTTGACCTTTGACCTTTCTACTGGGTTATATTTCGAGTCTCTACACTACATATCCTCTGAGTTTGTGGTAGACATGAGTTCTCCCATAAAGTACAAGATTGCTACAGGTCTATGCAACTTTTCCAAGGTTCCTATCAGAACCAGAAAATATATCAAAAAAAGTGAAACCCTCTAAAGATATCCTGGCATTGAGTTTATTGGTTAAGACAAATTATAAACTGTTTTCTGTTCTAATCTTTTCTTATTCTCTCATCTACAATAATATGTTTAGACCCTATGATTACACTAAAAATTAATCCCCTAAAATCTTGATTCTAGTTTATCCATTTCACATGAATAGGTAAACCTCAGAACCACAAACCAGGAAAACACCTCAAATTGTTCACCTGTAGTCTCCACACAACTTTTACCACAGCCAATAAAACAACATTAATAACAAAAGGCTACTCCTCGGTCGGTTTTTGCTTCCAAAGCACCAAGCAGGGAAAATGTAACTCCTTGAATACATCAGTTCGATTTCTCTTTGACAATACAAAGCCTTTCGTCCTTTTATCTTTCTTATCTTAATCTATCTCCAAGATGCCACTTAACAACCTTCAAGTCAGATACCAAAACAAGGAAATGTTGACCTACAGCTAGAAAAAATTAGCAAAAAGAACCATTTTACCACCCGTTTGGTTCAAATCAGCAATGGCAACGACTATGACCTTCAATGACAATCAATTAACCAGGGATTCCCTTTAAAAGTGTTTGGCAGTGTTTGTATTTGTATAGGAATCAACTTCTATTTTCTTTTCTTATTTCTTTCAACGTCTTCATGCTACAACTGTCAACCAAAACCTTTAATTTCTTACCATTGTCAGCCTTCGCCACCTACAGCGAGTAATCTCAAGAAAGCTCTATTTCTGTAACTCAACAAAATCAACAAAAACCCAAAACCAAAACCAACACCAAGGCATAACCACAATTCTTGCATGCAAATCAAGACCAAAATCCAAAATAATCTTGCTATTATGATGAAAGCCCACAGTCAATCAACATAGAAAGTTCTATGGCTGCATCAAGCTTAGAAATTAGAAACATAACCAAGACCAGTCCGCGTAAGTTTATATGGACAAGATTTTTACATAGCAAAACCAGTTCAATGACAATTGTTTTGAATCTGGGAAAATTTTGAGTGCCGATTACAAAAAAAAAAAAAGAAAAACTAACATACCAGCAGCTCCAATTTCTCCAGTCAGACGTTCTAATCAGGGAAGAAAAAGCAGCCTATGGAGTGAGAGAAGAACAAGAGAGATGAGGGGAGATATAATGATGAAGAAGTAGGCAGAAGAGAGGTTGGGAGGCAGATAAGAGGGAACAGCGATGTTCTCATGTTCCGTTGGCTACAGCTTTTCTCCTTTTCTGTTTTTTCATGCTTCAAGTTTCCTGCCGTAATCAGAATGGATGAGAAAGTTTCCAATTTGGTCCGGATTGGCTATTGGCCACTTTTTGGTCTTTCATAGTGACTGATTCATACTGACAGTTACCAACTAAACATCATGTAAGAGTTTTGAGAGGTTCAGACCCATTATATAGTAGTAATTTCCCCATACCGAATGGGTGGTTAGTCTATTGAAAAGGATAAACCTAACAAACTTTTTCTACCCGGGACTTGCCTTGCACCTCTCGCATTCAATAACAGTATCCTCACCAGCACGCAGAATTTCACCACTATTTTACTTCCATCCTAGTGAAGGTTACAACTACAATCAGTACCAAGATGGTATTCCAAGCCACATCTTGTACTTTACTAAAACTGCAAAATTAGAATACAATCCCACTTTATCAAAAGCAGATATATTACAGAGGCAACCTCACACAATGTCTGGAACATTATGCAATATTGCTTCTGAAAAGCAGAAGGGAGAGGGATACAACCTTTTGCCATTCATCAACAGCAAAAATATTTCAGACGCACCTAAACAGCATAACAGAAATATAGATGCAACATTAACTAGCATAACAGAAATATAGATGCAACATTAACTATGTAGCAAAAGGGAGAGGGAAAGGGGAAAGCCCGAAAGATTGAGATGTAGCACTGGTCACCGGCAAGTTTTGTTAACAAGCACAAATATCTTGGTGATTCACCTTAATATTGTGAAATGATTTTCATCATAAATAGATAAATAAATAGCAATGAAGCAAGACTCTTTATCAGTTAGCAAACTTCTACAAACAAATTACAGGAAAATTACAAACAACCCAGTTAGCAAGCATCTCCTTATTTGATGTGAATTGAAAATAAATGAGGCAGGATAATATTCAAACATGCGGGTTCGCTAATTTCTAACTATTCTTGATTCCCAGGAAATACAATATTCCAATAGATGTCAGAAATCAAAAGGCAAAATCACTCTGAAACAAAACATAAAGTGAAACCTGAGGATCTTTAATGCTCTCAACCAAAAGAGCTTGATAAGATTCAACCGCTTCCTTTCTACGTGCTTTCAATCGCACTCTCTCCACTTCTTGTTCTTCTCTTTCTTTCCGTTTGCGCAATGCTCGTTCTCTTTCTTTTAGTTTATCCTAGGAAACATTGGATGAAAGAACATCCATCTAAGTAGGAGAAAAATAAAGACAATAAACTCAATCTTACTCAACCAACTCTCTGGCTCTTTCACGAGTTTTAAACATATACTTAAAATTACAAGTGGATGGGAATTCTTTTTTGATAAAGTCGAATTGAGTTAATAAACAAAACAAGCAATGAAAATACACCATATAAGCATTTAACTCAATATTATTACAATTCCAAAATATTGTCAAGGTAAATAGATAACTACTAATTCATCAAAGCGAAATCAGTGGTTAGGAATATACAACATCAACAACTAAAGAGACCATCTTTTCCAGGCACCTTCTTAGAATACCTGCAAAGTTACAAGAATCATCACCACAGTACATGGAACAAGTCCATTCAGGCCCACATGGAACAATGATTACTACCTGGACCCGATCCATTTGGATTGAAGAGTTTTTTGAAAAACAGTTTTTGTCTTTCAAGTCTACAGGAATAAACTCTAAAAACAACTCAAAAACACAACACATCTTAAATACACAAGAAAAAACCCTCTTTCTTCTTCACCCATCACCTACCACCACCACCAACCAACCACCATCACACACCAACACCCGCCGCCGCCACCTCCTCTTCTCTTCTCCCTCTTCCCCTCCCGTTTCTCCTCTCTTTCTTCCTCCCACTTCTTCCTCCTCCCTTCCCCACCCCCTCCCCCCCACCTTCTGGTCGCCACTTCTCTCCTCCCTCCTCCCCCTCCCCCTCCTCCTTCCTCCTCCCTCCTCCCCTCCTCGCTCCTCCCCACCCCTCTCCCCCTCCCCCGCCCCCCTCTCTGGTTGGCAGGGGACGGGAACGGGAGAGGGGTGGGGAGGAGGAAGGAGGGGAGGGGAGGAAGAGGGAGGAGAAGGGAGGAGGAAGAAGGGAGAGGAAGAAAGAGAGGAGAAAGGGGAGGGGAAGAGGGAGGAGGGGGGAGGAGAGAGGGCAGAAGGGGTGGTGGTCCATTGTAAGGTTTTATAAAATTTTAAAAATGCCCCATTAAAATTTTAAATCTTAAAAATGCCCCAAAATATATTTTCAAAAACACCATTAAAAACATCTACAGTAAAAGTTTTTCACATACATTGCTGCACTAAAATATTTCAAAAACACCCCCAAAAGCAGTTAATCCAAGTGGAGGAGCACCAATAAATCTTGCAATTTTTGCCCATTTTCCGTGCTACTTTTTTGCTAAAAAGATATTCAAAACAAAAACAAAAATAATAAAGGTCAGAATTGAATTATCCAATCCAATTTGATAGACCAAAATGTAACCTAATGTCATTCTTAACATCTAATTTCAGTGGAACTCATTTAGATGGAATGTCCTCTAAGCTCATTCTTTTGCTAATACATTTAAACAACCTCTATGCAAGTTGTATATGGAGAATCAAGTAGCTTCCACATTTCAATGCTCGCTAAGCGGGTCTCTAACCCATCATTATTAGTTCTAAAGTAGCTGCTTTCACAAGTGTTTCAAAGTTTCCACTACAAATTGTAAAAGAAGGGACCAGGAGTTGCTAAATGGCTAAAGCTCACTGAAACGGTTAAAACATTCAATGTTTTCAGTAAAATATGCATCATCATTCCAAAAAAATGAACCTAACTAAGAAGCTCCTGAAAAACTTAAAAAAATATATCCATACAAACACAAGGACTGAGGAAAGAAGACAGTGAAACTGACCATTGTTTGAGATTTGATGTTTACATTACGCAAAAAGGCTAAATAAAGCATTAGCATGACTAACAGTTTCCTACATCTGAGAAGAAGAGAGTGAATCAAGCACCTGAGGGTGAGTTAAAACCAGTTTCTTACCTCCTCACTATTTTTGTCTTTTGCTATGCGCTCCGTCTCCTCTTCAGCAGCCTTCAATTCAGCGATATATTCATTAAACAAAGCCTCCCTATCCTCATGCTTAACAGACTTGTACCTAGGATCATTCCTCAGACTATCTTTAACCTGCCAGAAAAAAATAATTCGATGTGATCAAAGAAGCGCAATTTGGCAGAAACCACCAATGCTACATGTGCAAAAAGACACCCAACTAAAGCTTGGTGAGTGAGATGAGACATACACATTTAGAATATCAAAAGAATAAGCTGGTAGATACAAGCTACTAATCAGTATGTAGTAATTGATTTGAACATTAACAATGACAAGTGAAATTCAATGTGTAACAAATTCAAAATACTCTTTAATATCCATTTGCCCACCAGTCATATATAATGATTATCTTAGAGAAAGTTGGATGCGAGGTTGAAAAGAAAAATACAAATCATCTAAGAGAACACTTAACAATGACCAAGCATTTTCAGCCACAATATGTTATGAATTAGTCATAGCACATACAAGAAAACCACAGGAAAACTGACAACACAGAGGAAACTAGATTTCAAGTTTTTCAAACAACATCCCAAGAGACAAAAGCTGAAACAAGGTTAAGAAAAACAAGTGAATTATGTAAAAACTGTTATAAAACCTTTGACCAGCGAGAATTTGAAGTAATATCTCCTTCCTTGAGCATTGATTTGAAACTAGAAATGGCTGCTGCACGAATAGCTTGAGCCTTCTCTTCAGCAGCTCTCTTCAGTGGAAGGATCCTGCAAGCAGAATAAACTGTGTATCAACAAAACTTTACTATATTCATCGCATCGATGACATTTCCAGCAATTATGAAGCTCGTGGAAAAAGGAAGACAAGATATGAAGGACATGCTAAATCCCATTTCCAAAAATGCTAGTAAATTATTCTCCTAAAGACAATCTTCAGATCAAGTTCAAATGTAAGATCAAGTTCATTTACATCTCCTGCAAAAAAGTTGAGATCTTCTCTTATAGTATTTAATGTATATCATAGATTCACAGAGATGAAAGAAAAAGACCAATAACATAAGGTCAGAGAACAGTCATGATGCAGCCAGAATGACAAAGTGAAAAAGAGCAAAAATAAAAGGAGCTTTTTCAACAGTATACTAAATGTACACTTACCATTCTATTTAAAAGCCAGGATATCATTATCAACAATCTTAAGATATGCAGTAATTCATGTTATGGAAAGGGTTGAGCACAAATACCAGAGAGACAAAACTACATCTGATGCAGGTTGTAGTGCAAGGAAAAGGTAAACTACCTTGATTTGTGATCAAAGTCTAAGTTTCTAGGTAAACAAAGAGAAAACCATGGCCGGAGGCTAACTTAACAGCAACAGAGTTATTCGACATCACAAACACAATGATCACAGTATTAGTCTATAAATCTAGACTAATTTCAAATCCTTGCCAAGAAAAACCCAAGATCCAAATAACCTAGATAATGTAGATGATCAAAGAAGCCCTATCACACACAAGGAAATACAAGTATTGTCCTAAAATAAATAACCACTGTACTGCTAGAGTAACCAGTGAACTCTTAACTCCGTAAAAGTAACATTCAACCGTAGTACACTGCATTAGAATAATTTGTATCAGGGAAATTTTCAGTCCCCTTCTATCTGTTACTAACTGGGACAAATGATGTTGACAGCAGTGCTCATATCAATCACACTTACAAGCTAATAGAACATCATTAGGCAATTTCAACTCCCCCCCCCGGGGCACCCCCTGTCCCTCCCTCCCTCCATCTGTAGCTGAAATTTGAAATCCATGCTATTTATCTAGAAACCATTAACATAAAAGTCATGGACTCAGTACACCAATACACTTAATGTATCCATCAAAAAAGGTACAGGGCTCTCTTGGACTAGCTGATGGTAATTAGACACTCTTATGCTTGTGCGTATCATCAGTATTATCAGCCTATTGTGTTACTAATTTAACAGTTCTGGCCAAAGGATTCAAGAAGAACAGATTCCAGCTGTTTCTCAGCAGCAACTAGGAACTAGCTAAATATAATTAAAAGACAATTGCCACTAAACAACTGGATCCCAAGCACGTATTGAACACTTTCCCAAGATCATACCTTTCATTCAACAGAGCCTCTCTTTCTTTTCGCTCCAGGGCCACAAAGCGCGGATCATGTCCCCACTTCTTCTTGAATGTTTGATAATCAGTCTGATCATCAATATCCTGAATGTAGGGCATGTTTAGAAAGAAATTCTCAAATATCCATTGGAATTTATATCTGGACAAACTAAAGAGATAACCACACATACCTCCTTCACTTCTTCTAATAATTTCTTGAACCCCTCAACTGCAGCTTTTTGAGCGGCCCTTCTCTCCTTTCGCTGTTCTTCAGCGCGAGTTCTGACATAGTGCTCAAACAAGGCTCTTCGAGCACTATGACTTGGAATTGCCTACAATGAACAATAATGCAGATATGAGCAACAAAAAGACTGTCTACAAGTACGCAAAGATATGCATGAGAAAGACACAGCACCCATCCAGCCAAACATCCTATCCCTAACCCTGGCAGTAGTATAGCACATAAAAGAATCAGCAATAGACAGAGTGAGAGTATATAAACAACAAAGAATCCCCAAAAAAAAAAATGCAGGTGGGGAGGGGAAGAGAAAGGGGAAAGAAACAATGAACCAAGTATACCCACAGCAAATAATAAAGGCGAGAATATTTTTAAGACAACAAACTCTGGAGCAAGCAATATTTTACACAAATCTTTAATATCATTACTCCATTATTGTTTTTTGTATCAAGCCTATAGCAGCTTTTACTGACTCTTTTCCATGAGCACATGGATATGTGAACCTCATATTTATAGGATCTAAGTTGCATCCAAAATCCAAGCTGATATCAAGGTTATGCGGCATGAACATTTGCTACAATGAATTTTGGTTGCTGTATTTTGAAACCTTATGCTTGCTTCGCTGACAAGAAGGGATTTGCAGGAAAAAAGAGACGAATCCATCTTTTAATGTCTACCTACTTATTCAGAATTACTTTTCAGGTTAAGAAAGTTTAGCATCTAAAGAGAAATCCACTACATCTCTCCTGACCTATTCGCCTTGTCAAAACCTATAGGATAAGGTAATAAATGTCATTGTTAGTTTACCTCCTCCTAGGATCTTCTAAGTGACACCAAACTCTGACTGTTGTCTGCAAGTTAAAACTAATCCTGACATGGTATGCAAAACCTTGGATCTACTATTGCACCTTTAGATGACCACTTGAGTACCATATACACCTGAAACAATCTTCTGCAAAACCAGCATACCAAGAAGAACTATATCATTTCTCTGCTTAAATGATCACCCGCATCAATTCTGAAGATGTCTTGACAACTAAGTCAAAAAATTCTATAGCACTGACAGCAGATGACTTGGATGCAAGGAACTTTTAAGGAACCAAGACTGATGTTAAAAGCCAATCTATTCTCCCTAACCAAAGCTGAAATGTCTATTTCAGGCAAGTATCATCAAAGAATCCTTAAGAAGAAGAAAAATTGATATCTCACTCTGAGTTTCAACCAAATTGTGAATTCAATGAAAAACTTAACTCATTAAAGAACTTCATCAGCTAAAGCTAGCGAAAACAAAAAAAAATGAATAAATAAATAAAACTCCCATTGCCAGATCTTTTAAGCTTCTCAAAAAGATAAGAAACTGAATTTTGTGCTTTCATGAAGAATATCTGACAAAGATTATACAACAAATAACACTCTTTTGGCTCTTCAGATGTACAAAATTTCAAAAAAGTGAACTTATCAATGCAAAAATAGCATATCAAATGTTTGAATGGAGCAACCATAAAACTACACTACTTACAGGGAAAAAAGAAAAGAGAAAAGTGCACACAGACAAAACTACAATGTCATTTAAATTTCATAAAGTACAAGGCAACCTACCCTAAGTGGCAGAAAAAAATCTCCGTATATGAGCCCCATCACATATAATCGGATTGAACTCCAGAATAATTGTAAATAGCCTCCGCACAGCGACAATATGCTTGTAGATATTTAACATTAACAGGACTTGTGTAAAAGAAGAATATGCACTCAGCTTACATCCAGAGAACAGAAAAAGTTGAAAATTTAGACTCCAGACATCTCAAAGAATTATGAAGATGGAATCTTTGAACCCAGAAAAAAAAAGAGTTCTTCCTTTTAATAGAAGAAAGGAACTTGCATATGTCCTGTGTGTGTATTGGAGTTGGGTTCCTCATCTCCAAAATTAAGGATACTTTGACATGACTAGAGACTCAGAAACAGGTTTGTGATATGCTAGTCTATAAATTTCTTTTTCTAAAGCCAATATACGCATACATGTATTCTGTACTATTTCTTCCAATTAATATTTACATATACGATGTTACATGTCTAATGATATTTTATTGGCCAATTAATTAGAGTAAGTATTTAATGTATAGCATTTTAAAGGGAAGTAATGCGGGTGCTCCAAAGATAGATATTGGTACCCCATCTCTCTTATTTCCTGAACAGACTATAATATCCCTGAATAATACTCATCCTGTCTCGCGCTCCAACCCCTTCTGAAATTGTAACACTACCTCCTCAGTACCCCACGCCCAAGAGCAATCATATTTGTAACCCGCAATCTCCAATCTCCAATAATTTCTTATGGTAATCTGCAATCGACAGCAACAGCCAATTTCCTTTGACTAAACCCCCATAGAGTTTAAGGGACGGAATTTGTCAAAGGGAAGTTTCTTCCCTCTATTTAGTCACGAGGTTCTGCAGAAAATTGGATGGATATGGATGATTGCATTAGGAACTACCTGAGTAAATTGAGTTATTTTATGCTATGACACTGGAGGTTTTAAACTGTCCTATTTGTATTCTCAATTCTTGTGAGCTAAAGGATTTCAAAGATTGATGTATTGCCAATCAGTAGATGATGGTTGACTTGCAAGGGGCTTTCGGTGATGGTGCAGTTGAAGCAGTGCCCTGGCTTAAATTTGCAAAAACATCGATGAGTTTTAAGAGGAGAAGCCACCAACTTTCACAAACAAGGCAGGAAAACAAAGACCAGGGACATTGGTTTATTGAGGAAAATTGGGAACGAGTGAGTCGATAGTGAAGAACTAATTTAAAAAAGAACTTTATATCTTAAGGTATTAGAAGCATAAGTTCACGAAGAGCATCAGGCTTTTCAAATAACTATAAATCAACAGCATGTGCCCATGTTTGATACAGCTACTATCACTTCTGATGGTTTGACCTGTCACCAACACCTTATCTGAGTACGGTTCGACACCATATCTATTTTCATCTATCAGGTGCTTATACTCCATCACTTTCTATCCTAAAATTGTGCAAATTTCACTATGCTCGTCACCACACCACAGGAAATTTCACCTCTTATTATAGTTATAATTCCATCAGAACCACCATTAATGCAGATTGGGGGCCCAAAGCAACAAATTCTTCACCAAAGATTGGCAACCCTTCAAAGTTCATCAAGTTCCAAGCAGCCCCAGACTCCCATCCAAGTTTCAGCCAGTCCAATACACAGTCAGCACATGCACCAACATCATGTGGTGCTGGTACTCCATGGTACAAATGCCGAGACTGTGTAACAAAGTACTTGTCAACATGCATATAAGACACAATAAAGCCGGTTAAAATGAACATCAAGTCCATTAGGATTGTGCATAGTGAGGCAAGTATATTCAAAGGTTCAGTTAAACATAATTGGCCAAAAACTTGGGCTGGGTTTTTGTGTATGGCAAAAAGCAAGGGCAAAATCATAGCCCAACGATTCTACCATGTCAACAAGACCAGAAAAAATAACACTCATTATGCAGAGTTCTAAAAATCGGGAAAGGAAACTGTTAAATGACAGTGTATGCAAATAAGCAGAAACAGTTCATGATAGGTATTTACCATACAATAACAAAGAATTGGTTCTAAAGAAAAAGGACAACTCGAGAAACAGATTAGATTCTCACCAGAAACAGAAGGGTCAAAGTAGCTAGCAAGAGGAAGCCTCCCCACGTCTACCTCAGTAGTCAAATGAGTGTTTGAAAATTTCGTCTCGCCAAGCAAGTGTAAAGGATAACAGAAGAAAATCCACCCACGAATGCAATCCTAAACATGTCTTCCATGAAATGATCAGGTCAAAGGGAGTACCTTGAAACTCAAAGTACCAATAGCTATTGAGTTCAAGCAGCACAGTCTGGCCCTTTACAGTAAGGCAAATACTTTTGCATCTTTTACGAGTATGTTGCAAGCTTTCTTGGGAAGATGGATACACGTCTTTTTTTCCCCAATTTCCACAATAACAGGTTCTGTCTGATTTGGCTTATCAACTAACCTAGTCCATCAGCAGGGAGGTTTGCCATTCTAGTCAACTTTGTCATTCCAACATAGCATACACATTTCTACACCACCAGTCAAAAAGAAATTTTTGTTCCAGATTATGCCCTGATCTAACAAAAACCCCCTCAGACTCCCTCCCCCCCCCCCAAAACCCAAACAAAACAAAAAAAGGAGCCACAGCAGCACTCCAAGAATAATTCATATTTCACATAAATTTTTGGACTAGCTGGATGTGCAAAATCATGAGCAAACAAGTACTAAGATGATGATCACTAATTTAAGCATACAATGCAGACCAAATCCATGTGTGAGAGAGAGAGAGACCAAAGTGCTATTTTTCAACGTAAGAGGAGTCTAGACAAACCTTAAACCGTGGGTCATAAAATATCTTTGGAAGTTCCTTTTCCCATTTTGAAAATGGTGCTACACCACGTTCCTTGAGCATTTCCTAGCAATTCAACAGACACGTGCAAACACAAAGTGCGTAAAGAGTTTACCGAAAAGAATGAATTTCAGCATAAAATCATCTGAAAGGCTATATAAACAAATAAAGGAATTAGAACAAACAAAAACAAATTTGACAGCAAGGATTTCAGTCTTATCAGATATTTATTGTACTAAGACAAACATGACCATACAAACTCAAGCCACACATATATAATGACGCTTCAAATTTGGAACTTGGACAAAAACAATTAACATTTTTCAACAGTAAAGGAAGAAAGGGGAAGCCGGAAAATTGGCAATGATACCTTAAATTGGATGATACACTCCTCCTTTCTTGGTCCATTATCATCATCCTCAGAATCTGATGAGGTATCAGACAGATTACTTTCTCCATTAGTTTCTTTTACATTTTCTTTGCTATTATCACTTCGAGAATCCCTAGCCTCGACTAATTTTGAACCGTTTGGATCTGATGAAACTGCTCCAGGCAAACCTGTACCAGGTGAAGTTGCAGGAGGGACACCAGAATCCTGCAACTTCTTTTTTATAAGATCCAATGCCGAAGAGGGTCCTACCACAGTTGATGACCTTAGAACTGTGGCATCACGACCGCCTGTGGTAATAGCAGGGGCACTCAAAGCAATAGGAGTTGATCCTTTTTCAGATAACACACTAGAACTAGACACTGCCATGGATGTCCTTGAGGCATCAGCATCCTGCTTCTTTTTTAACTCAGTCAGTTCACTGGGAATTTGCCAGCTACTCAACTGTTTAAGAAAATACTACAGAAAGTCATGAAATTGACAATAGCATAACAACTGGGATGAATAGCTAGCATACGCTCCCATAGTCGTATAAAGGACCAGAAACAATAACAAAGATTCATGCAAACTAGAATGAATTCAAGTCTTGATACAAAACCAAAAGTATGTGTATGTTACAAACGGACTTTCAGGCTAATTACTGCTTCATTAGATACTAGTAATAGGAAACATCAGATAGAACTTCAGATCTATGATCTATAAAGGAACTATTAAAAAAATGTCAAACTAGTATTCACAATAATGAATAACAAACTTAGTGACAGGTGACAGTCCTAACACTTTACCATGAACCAGGCAAACACGTCAAACCAAAACCAAGTCAAAAGAACAAATAAAGCTGATCACTGCCTCAAATATCAAATCCCAAAAAAAAGAAACATTCATCTAGAATGATTCAATAATTTAATAGCCGAAATAAAGGAAAATTTGTGTCGACAGAGACAATCCAAGCAATCATTAAAAGCATAAATTTTTTTTCTAATTATAAAATTAGCTAAAATTAGCCAAACAATTCTTAAAAAACTGAACATGGATCAACTTTTCAACAAAATGAAATGCTCAACCACACTTAACTTTTCCTAGCAGCATAGGAGTTTCACCAAAAAATGTACAATCACAACATGGCACTTCTGAAGATATGACAATCAACCATTCACAGAAGCAGCAAAGAACTACGTCTAGGTGTGTATTGCCATGGACATTATGGAAAACTTCTACTTGTATACCACTTGTCTGTTGAAGAGAAAATAAAGGAAAAGGCTGTCGACAAAAAAAGAAACAAAAAAATAAATCTGTCATCAGCAAGAGGAATTTCCAAATGTTCTTATCACCCTAGGAGATCTTTAACAAACCCAGCAAATTGTAACATGTAATGAGTTAGCTGCGAAAGGAATGAAAGCTTGGGGTGGCAAGCAAGTTCTCATATAGGCCACAATACCAGGACTTCAGTCCAGTTCCTTATCCTCCAGTTACTTGGAGAAGTCCTACCACGTCCTAGCCTTTAGACTTTAGATGAGCCGGACAAATAAATAGCTGTAAGGTTTGTGATATGCCATACATATAAGCCATTAAAATCTTCAACAAATCCAGCCATATGAAAAATATATAGTCATAGCTGTAAGAGGGATGGAAGCATGGGGTGGCCAAAAAGATCTCATGTACGCCATAATACCTAGACTTGGGGATGTTTCCTTAACCTCTGGTTACTAGACAAAGTCCTACCTGCATCTTGCCATTTCAAAACAATTTATAAACAAGTCTGACAGAAAATACAGCTTAACTTTTAAGAATATGATGTACAGGTGGTGGTTCAGTTTTGCTATTAAACCGCCAATATTTTCAATTGAAATTCAAATTCTTCTTCATACTTAATACTATTATCAACTTCCCATATGAATTCCTTCTCACTGTTGGCATTTCTGGGTTTCTAATTCACCCTTCTATTTTCACTGGTGACGAGTGAAAGGAAACTTGGGAGAATTACTCGAAAGAGAGAACAGGAAAACCAGTTCACCTAACAAGATGACAAGTTTATCTGGAAGTTACTTTACTTGGTGATTAAGTTACAAAGAAAAATATCTACAATTGTAAGAGCTCAATAAATTTATCAAATTGTAGTCACTCATTGATTGCCAACAGCGTTGGGAATTGATAACTAGATAGTGAAACTAATCTGACAGTTAAAAGTACATTTTTGAAGATGGATATGCAAGCTATGAATCTACATTAGAACGCTTTACTGATACACAATGCCAACCTAGCACGTTTGCAGTACACTTAAAACAGGGGCAAAATTAATAAAGAAAAATCATGGGAAAAATTCTTCGTTTTTCCCCCCTTACAGGTGCATACTAAGGCAATATAGGTTTTACAAAGAAAGCATTTGGAGAGAGAGAGAGAGAGAGTTCAGACTCAGAGAACAAAAGTAGACTATTAGTAGACGTTCAACTAATATAACTAACCTTGAATACCAAGTAACATGCACAAACAATAAGACTTGAATGATTAACCATGAACATTTTTTGTCCAAGCAAAAGAATTCCAACCTTCAGGTGACTACCGTGATTTATCCATCATCTTAACTCATGCAACACAGGGAGCAAGAAACTGATTTAAAAAAATTGAAGCAACAGACAGCCTTTCAAGTGTCCATAAAGAAACCTGTGACAAATGTACATCTACATATGCATTCTTATTGCAAGAGAAAAAAATGAACCATTTGTTGACAAAACAATACCTTAGTTTTTGTGTTGAAATAATATTTTTTCCCATCATTAGTGGTCACCAAGGTCCAATCTGTACCAGCCAATTTCTCCCTGAACATTCACAACAAAATATGCTAATTAGCTCCATCATAAATACTATCATGCTCTACTAGGTATATCAAAAGGCAGAATCAACTGCAAGAATGACATCTTGAGTGGGAGGAGAAAATAATTAGTTCACGAGAAGAGAATATGCCCACAAATAGACAGCCACACAGTAGCCATGTATAATCACTTGCACCAGACCCTTAGTTAAAGTCAAGTTCTGAAATAAACATACTGTCCAATAAAGCCATAAGACTGCAACCAGTTGTCCAACCAATTAACAAGTGACTAAATATCCAAATCTTACTAAAGCATGAGAATTATTTTACACACTTAATTATGATGCCTGATCAATAACAACATAGAAATAACTTGCCCTAGACATCAAACAAATGATAATAATACTCATATAAGAAGTATCAGTGACTCACCACTTGCAGGCTTGTTACTGTTGTAAAGGCAAGATCAGTTGCAATTATTAGCTTGAAAATGGCATCATGACCACCAAAATTAAGAAAAAGACAACTTTGTATTTCTTAAAGTATTTTTCATTTTTCCTTCTTTAGACTACACTAAAGAGACATTGAAGGAAACTCAAACAAGTTAACTCTAATTTTCCATTGGCAAAGTTGGCCATCTGGAACTTGTGATGCAACTTCTTTTTGTCAGTCATGATTGCCTTATTCTGTTTGACAAATGGCATGTTTTCCAGATTAAATGCTTGAAACTTAAGCTCTTCATGCGGCAAACCTAAATAATTGCTTCAAACTTGCAGTCTATCTTCACAAGCTAATCCTTCTCCAGGTATAAGTACCAATTTTGGGTGACACGAGTCTTGAATGCAAAAGTGCAAGGCAAGACTTTAAGTATATGTCGCCCAACTTCAGAATATTAGACCTGGTCTCCAGCATTAGGAGGTCTGATTTACTTTAGGAAATTTAAATCTGTTATTAGTAATGTCCTATCAGAATCTAAATAAGCGCGATATTGTACTTCAGCAAATGCAGGAAAAGATCATAGCAGTAGGAACATTAGATCCAAGTTTAAGTATTTAAATCCAAATTGACTTCTTTTTTCCTTGTACACTATAACTGTAGCTATACAGTCAATTTCCGTTGCGCAAGTCGTATGTTGCGTCTTGCAACAAAGTATCTAAATTATTTAGGTTATATAAGCTTTAGTTCCACAAAATTCTTAGCCTCCATCTTTTCATATACAAATCTGTTGTAAATATAGACATCTTACTACTCAAGCATGATAACTGTTGGGTAAATTACACCATTAATCATGACTTCTCTACTTTAAATAACTTGCCATAAAAATCAAAGAAATGATTATGCTACAAGTGAAGCTAACAGCTGACTCACCAGTTGCAGGATTGTAATTCTAGAACATGCAACAATCAGCACCAATTACTGACTTCAAAATCGTTATGATCACCACCAAGATTCAGAGACTTTCTAAAGACAACTTTCTATCACTTTTTAATCTATTCATAGCTGTTCCGAAGTGTTTTTCCTTGGAGATGGAAAATTCGTCCACCGAGTTTTATCAAAACAAAAAAAGAAAATATCGTGGTCGGGAAGGTTATAGCAGCCAAAGCCATTGGAATTTTTATTTTATACATTGGAAAAATTCATTTTGTTATTAATAGATTAGGAAAGGGCAAAAGAATAACTGAAAGAAAAGAAATCAATTAGTTATTCTTCAAAGTTTCAGTTGTTCAACGACTAGAATTAGTACCCATTTTGGGAATGTCCAGTGCCAAATCCACTGAATGGGTGAGTCGTCAATCCCTGGACCATGTAATGTACTTTATCTGCTGGGTTATGTTACGGGCAGGCATTTTACCAGAGGTTTCGAATCTATGATTTCTGTTTTCCTATTAGACTATGGGACATCAAAGGAAAGCTTGAAGGGGTAAATGAATCCTAACAGAAAGAAAAACTAATTTTCATTTACGTAGGCTTGCTGCCTGGAACTTGTAATGCAAATTTTTTTCTCCATCAAGATTGCCTAATTCGGTCTGACAAGTAGCATGCACTTCTTAAGCTCCTCATGTGATAGCCCTAATTCGGCTTTTTTGCGAGCCAATTACCTACTCCAGATATAAGTACCAATTTGAAGTAAAATATTACAAGCTCGATAACTATGCTTATTACATATCATTAGTGAGAAAGTCAGCAGCAACTCTGACACATACTTCCCTTACTCAAGAAAATCAGACCTAGGCTCTAACCATAAGCAGTTTTTGAGTCCTTTAGGTCATTCGGATCTGCTCAATAGTAATTCTGCGTCCTTTTGGAATCTAAATAAATGAAGGGAATCATTGAGCTAATTTCTAATGTATCCAAAAGAAATCACAGAGCTAATTTAGAAAACAATCTGATAATTGGCATGGCCAGCCTTTGTACTTTTGAAACCCGAAGTAGATGAAACAACTCCCCTATCCCTTTCCTTATGCAAGATGCCCTGAAACTTTCTCAACAAAAGCTTTCATTTGCAAAATCTCCAAGATCCAATTGCTATGACAAACAACAAGCTTAATGCTGTTTTGGAACATAATCCTCAAATCCATCAACATTTTAATGTATGATAGGGGTTTGAAACAAGCTAGAGTTTGTCTCTAAATTTGGCTAGGGAACAGAGTCCCAGAAATAATATGATTTTGACATCAAAAGGCTCAGAGTACAAGTCTTCACCTCAAAAGATAGCTCAGTAGCTTAATAATATACAACCAAGACAGGTTGCTTTTGATAATCAATGTATTCCAACTTTAAACAAGGTAAAAGAACAGTATACAGAAACGAGTTTTAACTTAAAAAAGAAAAAGAGAAAGATTACTTAGTTGTAAGAAACTAAGACAGACCTACTATGAACCAGCACTCAGTTTCATGAAAGCATAGTGGACATCTGTATGCCTACAATATCTTTTATTCATATTTTGTTTACAGGTCCAACTCCAGAATGTTTAAGGATTTTCCACATGATCTGATCCTTGGTTTCCTTTTTCTTTGCTGTCATGAAGTAACTTTGTTGGGCAAATTAAACTCACCTCCTCTGTGTTGCCTCATAATTACAGAAACCACCCCTCTTACTAACAATTGCAGATGTCATCCCTCAGGTTTCTATATCATGCCACATAAGCCCACCTAAGTGCTAGTGCGGACAGAATTATAACTGTAATTGGAAAATCACAAATATAAATGCCATAGAAGGGGGATGGCTCAGCAAAGTACAGAACCAAAATTCTAAAGAACGTCTTCATCTTATCTAGAACAATTTAACAGGGGAAGCTAACGCAATTTTATAACTAAAGGAGCAGTCCGTCTGATTATGACAAAACTTAGGAAGATCAGCATAATTTACCCAGACCTTTCTATATTGTCCCGTGTAGAAATGATCCCAATCCCTACCGTCCCTTTGACGGACAAATATAGATAAAAACAATTTCTTCAGCCATTTAGTTTGTATATGCCCAAAAGGACTAAAAATACACAGTTCATGAGAAGCATTGATTAACATAAATTTACCAAGCATCAACCAAAATTATTACAGGGGAAAAAAGAACTATTCTATCATCTTAAATGTCTACTTTACCATGATATATGACACCAAAAAAGCATAACAGTTTCAAACTAGTACATTAAGTTAATATAACAAAACCACAAGTAGAAAAGTCCATCACATAAAATAATAATCCTTCTTCAAGAAAGCTATTTTGCAGGATATTTTCCTAATTAGGTAGAAAAGAACTCACCAAGTAACTGGAGTTGGCTGGGCAGTTACTTTCTCGGGCTGCAGTTTACAAGGAACAAACAATTATACTCAAGATATTTATAAGCCAAATAGAAGCTAAGAACCTTAAACGAGAGAGCATACAAGAAATAGCCAAAACAAGGGCTTCTTCAGATATTCTTGATCTTTAGTCACCGTTTGGATTGAAGGGAAGGGAAGGGAAGGAAAAGACTCTAGTGGAAAAGTAAGGAAAAGAAAGTAGAGGAAAGCAGATTCCATTGATTTTGTCTGGATTAAATACTGAAGGAAAAGAAAGTAAACACTGAAGATATTGTTTGGATTGGGGAATGAAAATAAATGAAAGGAAAATATCACGTGTTTTGCCCATAATTTAATGAAGGAAAATTTTGCCCATAATTTAACAAAGTTTGATTTCTAAACTTATTTTAGCGCCTTACCTCGTTTTAGTTTTTATTTTCAATATTCATCCATTTATTCTCATAAAATCTACAAGATAATATTATTTAAAATGAATCAAATTGTTTTTATTGCACTTTTTAAGGGGAAGATATAAAAGGACAAATTTTAAAATAATAGCAAATATTAACAAGATAAGTAATATTTTTAAGTTTCAGACATTACTTAAAAATGTAGGGCTTAGGTGTTTGGGTGGTCTGGAGATTTTATCAAAGATGGATAATATTAATGATAAACACAGAAAAACATAACGATATTTTTGAAATTTTTTAAATTTTCATTAACCTTGGTTTCCTTTCCCTCCATTTCCGCCCACTTTTGGATGGAAAGTATAGACCTAATCCCTCGCTTTCCCTCCCTATCCGTTCCTTTCCCTCCTCAAAAATCAATCCAAATATTAAAAACCTTTTTACTCCATTTCCTTTCCTTGCCTTTCCTTCCTTTTCTCCTACTTCCTCGAAACAAATGGTGAAGAAAAATTAACTTGATTAAACATTTGAATCAGTTCTTTTCTTGTATGCAACTGATTTCAAGCTAAACTCACATAGATGAACAATTAAGTTTTGACCTGGCATGTTGACCTATACATTAAGTAGCACTGCCATGAAATGTTTAAAATGTTGCACTAGAAAACCTAATTAAAGCTTGAAACAATCATGTCTACTGGAATCAAAAAGCAAGATGATCAGGCAAAGAACCATTACCACATCATGGAGCCACCAAAACTTGCTTGCTTTCAGAGAAAAACAAAACTATGTATGCAACTAAAAAATGTCATAAATGCTCACATTCACCTAAGAAATCCCTATAAAATGTCCCAATTGAAAAGTGACTGCAGAGAAAGTTGAAAATGCATGGGGATAGCACCAACACAGGGTCTTATGTCTTATCAGGATGTAAAAATAAACAAGCATAGCAAAATTTGTTGCATATAGCTCTGTGAACATAAATATCATTCCACAATAAAAATTTCATTGTCCTTGTATAGGTAGACCCTCAAGGTCCATAACAGTCTATTGAAGTTCACATAACGCATGGCAGTGAATAAGATAGCTGCAACTACCTCCCCCACAAAGCCTGAAGGCTTTTCATAAGTAGATTCTCCCGTCACAGCATTATAGTAGTACAGAGCTCCAGTTTCTGTCCTATGTGCTGTCCAGGCTTCCAGATGTTCATTGGCTGGAGATCCATCTTTGATGTCAACTGCATTTGCACTTTTAACATTATCTGCAGAAGTAAATAACAAAATCAGAAATATGAATAGGAAAAACAAATCATATGCTGTTAATTTCATCAATTTTGAGCATACCAATCCCAGGAGGAATCTCTGCTTGCAAGACACCAGTTGTTGACTGGCTAACAGAAGCTACAGTATGAATGGGAGTTGCAGAAGGTGCTTCTGCATTGGTTACACCAGGGGCTTGTGTGTCGAGCAATGGAACAGATGGGATAGGTGTATTTCGAGCTGGCAAAGGAAAGGGACCCGTAATAGCTACAGGATATGCTGAAAATGGTGGTCTTATCAGGCCACTAACCTGTGGGGGCTGCAACCATGGTCCCCGTAATGAAGCAGCTGCAGGAGACACAGAAGGATATGGGGCATATCGCTGATGCTGAACAGGAGGATTTGAAAGCACAAGTATACTTTGATTGTTCGGTCTCAGAAATGCAGTAGAAAGATCACTAGATGGAGTGACAGCCACATTGGCGGGTAAAGGTATTGATGGAGAAATTCCTGGGGGAGGTGTTGCAGGACTATTAGCAAATCCTGGAAGAACCTGATATGATGGTGCAGGAGGCACACCCGAAAAGGAACTTGACAAATTACTTGTTGGAGTGGGCTGTGCAGTAGATACACCTTCCAGTTCTTGTACAACCTCAGCCTTGTTATTCTGTAGTTGGAAACGAAGGCAGAAAAACTCAATATAGCCAATAAGTAACTTTAATGCGATGAAACAAGTTTAAAACTGCACAAGTCTAAAATAAGTTGAAGCAATACTCAGAAGAGCATGGCCAAAACAAATCCCAAAGTTCACATACTTCAGTTGCAATGCACAATCACAAATACTGCATTAGGCCATCCTTGTAATTAAAACAATGCAGAACCAAAATCCAGAGTAAACACTCAAATGTTCAAAAGCACACTCTTCTGGCAAACCATTTGCAATACATACCTATTTCCAAGAAACAAACAAACAAACAAACAAACAAACAAAAAACCAAGTCATTATTCTTTCCCCAGTATGGAATTACAAAAGTTACCATGAATACATTTGGCCTAACAAGCAAAGAGACCTTCAAGAAAACTGCTGGTATACTTCTACTTCAAAAGTCAAGGCAATAGCCTCAAAAGCTCCAGTATTGGAACAAGCCAAAGAAACTATACATAAGAAAAGTTGTTACATATTTCATCAGTAATATCTACTTGCAAGCTCAGAAGCTGGGTGCTCTTTCATATTATGTTAAAGAAATCTTGGCCACCAAAACATCAAATTCCTGCACCTAATCATACTGAGTATATATGCATACAATACATAAATGCATCTTTAGCAAAAAGAATAATTAAATGATGACTCCTAAACTCACTTCGGCTTTGCTCTCCCTCTTGTTTATGGCATCTAAAGCAATGCACCTCTACAGCATAACCTCTATTAGATAATTCAAAAGAACCATTCTAAAAGAAGAAATCTCCAAGAAACCATAAGTCACCTTAGCAGACCAGTCAGGTTTCAGTTAACCCCAATAAACATATACGTAGCCTCACAAACATGTCAACACCTTCCCCCACCAACTCTTACATTTAGAAACTAATATTTAACTTCAAAAAAAGGTCATCAAACCACATACAAGCAAAGTAACCAAACCAATAGAAAGTAGGGAAAAGTTTAGATTCCCACTGAAAATGTGGACCCATAAAAACTTCAAGAAAAAGTCATCAAAGGAAGAACAAGTCAGCATTGCAAACCCACCTTTGCATGGCAAACCTTCAAGTCCATTTTTATTAACTAAAAAGATATTCGGGTGAAGGCTAACATTTTGATTAATGAAGGTAGTCCTACAATACATATGGAACCACAATTTCTCTATTTGCTAAATAAGACTCCACTACTCAATAACCACATAAGCAAAGATAGTTTCCATTTACACAAGATATTTCAGAAATTTTTGCATCTTTTTGGATAGCACAAAGCTCCAGGAATGAAGCCTGTAGCACCAAAATTGATATTTGAGGCCTTACTTAATCTCTTATTCTCCTCATAAAGATTGCAAGAATTTGAACTACCGGCTAGCGCCCCCCCCCCCCAACAAAAAAAAAAGTTTAGTGCAACATATCAACCCCAGATCATCAAACACTATCTTCCATTTGTAGAAAACTAAATAAAACATCTGCATAATGCTAACTCATCGAAGTTCTGCAATAAGCTAAAATCAACTCCCATGCAGCCAAAAAAATGCATGACTACCTTCCTCATATCAGACCTTTAACCACAATTTACCTTCTTAAAACATAGAAATCTTAGAAGCGAGCTCAATATGCATGGAAAAATTGAGTGACTGCCGTCAAACTTCAGATTTGTTTGATGCATTCTGGCCGTACATCATTTCTTTCTAGTTTTTACTACAACCCATGAAATGTCCAGGACAGAGGTCTGACCAAATAATTGTCAACCCACATCAATAACCCAAAATGCTTCTTGTGTTAATCGCCCCAATCACGTCTATCCAATGCAGGGATGCAGTCTGTTACGTCTCCACCTTAAGGTCCTTCCTTGTTTGCAAAGTCCAATCCAAAGTTCAGGCTATTTTGGGGTGAAAGATTCCAAAGGGTTCAAACAGGCTATAGAACTGGTCCCACCATTACTTCAGCATAGCACTTAGCCATGCACAAAACTTAGTTCCTGCAACCCTCAAGTAATCACGGTCCAACACCATTGGCCCCTCATCCAAATACACAGTGTCAATCTAATACCAGCTATAATATACAGAGCAGAGTGACCCTAGTAACTTTCGAACCTAAACCACTGCTGCAAGCAAAGGGCTGACCTTAGTAACTTTTGAACCTAAACCACTGCTGCAAGCAGAGGGCTGACCCTATTAACTTTTGAACCTAAACCACTGCTGCAAAATGCTGAAACCAAGCTATTAGCTGAATCAATTAAATCAGATTTGGTTCTTAAGTTCCAAAAACTTTCCTTTCAATCCTGCACAAATTTCTCCTAAGTTTCTGAACCCAACAAACCTCCAACATGTACTATCAATCAAGTGCATAGGAGATGCAAGTGGACAAGGCAACTAGACCCTATCCAACTATGACCATAAATACTCACTGAACAACAAGATAAATTTTAACTTAAATAAACTATGCTATGCATGTTGTATGAAATTATGTTAAATTTGAAGTTACAAATACTTATTAAGGAATAAGCAAAATGAACTCCTAACAAAGGTACGTACGTACAGGTTTCACTGACTGATTAATCTGCCCCAGCTGTGCATTCCCATTAAAAGTGAAGTTTGAAGCATTCATTGGGGCTCCTTGTTGAAGGCCACCAGCAGTTGGAGGCGCTGCACCTGCCATCATCGAAGGCACCCCTACTCCCGGTACACATGTACTCGGATTCTGGGACATACTACTGATACACTACCCAAAAGAAAAAACTGAACAAATGTCAGAAAGGTGAACAGCACAAAAATAAATAAATAAATAAATTGTACATTTCTGTTGCCAAATTAACAAACGGTGCTTAAGTTATTTACAGTAAATTTCATTTCTGCTGATTTCTGCCCGAAATGTACATTGAGCAATTCATTTTATACACAAAACAAATAAAAAAATCGTAGAAATTTTCAAAAGCTCAAAATTAAGCCATCTTTACTGATTAGGCAATGGACCACTGCCTTTTAACTAATTCTCACATACGAATAAAAGTAAAAAAAAATAACAAAAAAAGTTAGACCTATTATAAAAAAGATAGAAAAGAAAAAACCAAATAATTTCCTGCCGGCTGAACTGTTTCATTTAGCAGGCAACGAACAAAAATCGCAACAAAAAAAACTACAGGCTAAATTGGGAAAATTAGAAAAAGAAATAATAAGAATGCATTTGAAGTTGGTGAAGAAACCCTAAGTGACCGTAGAAATTTGTTACGGAAAACCTAAGAGACAAACTTACCGATTTATTGTTCGAAGACGGAAATGCTCGAAAAAACAATAGTACAGAGTATTACAGTAGGCAGAGAAGGAGAGGCCGGCGCTGCGCGGGGGATTGAATTTTGGGATTTTGGGGGAATTGTTTGTTTAATTATAGGGTAAAGATGTTAGACGGAATTACTGATTATTGAATGACCAAAAACGGGGGCTAACATTTTTTTGTTACTCGAATGCGAGGGTATGATTTCAGGGTAAAAAATTTATTTGCAAGGGCAGGAGTCAAATCGAATTAAATTTCAAGGTTTGAGAAATAGTGTCGAAGGCAAACTCCTTAGTGTTGCCAGTATTTGCATATTACCCCGAAAATGTTAATTGTTGTGTACTTTTAACTCCTTGTCAAGCGACTTAGAGTGGTTAAATCATAAATGTTAAAATAAATAATTGATAGTCAAATCAACCCTCAAGTCCAATGATTGAAAGAGCTGGACGAATTCCACCCGTAAAAAAAAAAAGAACCAGTTGAAAATGCCCTTTCACTACTATTTTTTTACCTAACTAGGAGGTGATCGCATGGTGTGAATTTGCAAAACGTATATATGGAGCTTTGCCCAGTAGATAAATTTTCTGTTTGGAAAAAAAGAGAGAGAGAGAGAGAGAGGAAAAAAAGAGAAATATGAAAATACAAAAAAAAAGGGTGAAAGGAAACATTTGTTCCTGAAAAATTCATCAATAATTACGCCTTGATATAAAAAATGGAATTAAGCAGGTGAAAAAGTTATCAGTTTTTTTAGTTTCATTTAGCATAGGAGTAGCGGATAAGGAACTACTCGAATTACTTATTGAAATTGTAGTATAAAGTTTGGAAGAAATAAAAAAGCATATTTTTTATGAGAAGATATGAAACATTTTTGGTACCTATTGATTCTAACTTAACTATCGTCAATATGTATGTCAGAGCATTGATTAATCAGTTAAATGTGTGGACCTTTTTGATATATAAAGTTGTGTAAACTATGAGCAAAACATCAAGAGCTGATAGAAGAAACTCTTTCCTTGCTTTGCCTCCTTTGATGGTTCCTGTATACCTCATGGAATTTGAGTCAGAAAGTGTTGGTTCATCAGCTACTCCTGAAGCAGACCAATATACTCAGGAATGTTGTTTTCTGTTGAAATGTACAAAGGAGCAACAGGTTTGTACTTCTTAATAGGGGTGAGCATCGAATTCGAATTCGGTAGGTTGAAATCGGTAATTTTCGGTAAATGATTCTAGAAATATTCGACCTAATTCGCATTCGAATTAGAGACTACCGAATTCAATTCGGTAAACAAAAAATTTACCGAATTACCGAATTCTAGAAAACTGCTTCTTCGGCCCATTTTTCATCAGCAAATAGCAGTGCTATTGAACTGAGCCACAACTTACAAATTGTTCGAATGTAACTGATCACAAATCACTCCAGAAATTCGAAATCGAAACAACACACAATTCACATTGATCATTAAAATCCAGAAATCATAAACAAATCCACAAACAAATCACAAATGACAAACAAATCCAGAAATCACAAATCGGAAATTACACTGTTGTCCAGTTGCCCTGGTGCTACAAAGCAGAAATTCCACTGATCCACAATCATAAATCAATCCAGAAATGATAATGAAACAAAAATAAAAGTCTAAATTAACTTGTCCAAAAATCACAATCCACATTCCACAATCTAGAAAGCCACAAAGTCACAAAGGTCAATAATCCAGAAATTGCAATCCACAATCCAGAATCCAAAAAGCCACAAGAAGAGTTGCAATACAGAAAGCCAATTACGCTGAAACTGCAACTTGCAACAAGAGTGACCTCTCAAAGGTCAATTATAGTTGGTTCAACTCCGGTCTTCAGCAACTCTGCAAGAACAAATAAAATTCATGAAGTATCATAAAGGCAATTATTAGAAAGAAAGAAATACTTCAAATTCTGCAATAAAAATTTTGATAGCTTACCAGATTCGAAGGCTTCAAGCTCTTCCAGATTTTCTTCTACATTTAATTCTGTCTTGGAGGACCGAAGCCAATCTTAAGCACATATTAAACCTTGTACAATTCTAGGAGTCAAAGAACTCCTAAATGTATCAAGAACACGACCTCCGGTACTAAAAGCAGATTCGGAGGCCACAGTAGAAATTGGGACTACTAACACATCACGAGCAATTTTGGAAAGGATTGGGAATCTAAGGCTATTGGCCTTCCACCATAACAAGATATCAAATCTCTCATCACCTTCCTCACAATCCTCATTCAAATACTTCTCTAATTCAGATTTTGCATCCCTACCCCCAAGTTCCATTTTTCTTTTCTTAAACTCCAACTTGTACCTATCAGTGATTGTTTTAGAGGCATCCCCATGTCCATGAAATGTAATTTTACTCGTTGGAGAATCACTTGAAAGTGAAAAAGCATGAGAGGCAGGTGTGTTGAGCATCTTGTATTCATTAAACAGCTCAAAAATTGCATCTTTTGCAAGGCCAGCTATTGTTGTACCATCGGACTCACCATACATTTGACAAACCACAAATTCAAGGTATTCAAGTTTAGTTCGAGGATCAAGAATGGAGGAAATAAAAATCAACATATTCATCTTTTCAATCTTTCCCCAATACTTATCATATTTCTCCTTCATTGATCTTGCCATTAAACTCAATTCATCATTATCACTTGCTGTCATTTCAATTAAAATGCCATGAATGTGACTAATATCAGTGAAAAATTTATTTGAAGTCACATATTTGGAACTGGAAACCTTCACAGTTAGCTGATAAAAGTTTTCCAAAAAAATTACCAAGAATCTAGCTTTTGTCCAATCAGATTTTGTTAGCAGATTTTCTAGCTCTTGAAGCATATAAGGATCCTGCTCCTCAAACCTCTCAAAAGCTCGCTCAAACCTTTGAGCTGTGTCTAGCATTAGATATGTAGAATTCCACCTAGTAGATACATCTAAATAGAGCAATCTTTTGCATTCAATTTTTTCAATTTCAACACACTCCTTGAATTTTTTCAATCTAGAAGGTGACTGTCTAACATATCTAACTGCTGCCCTGATACAATCAACTGAATCCCCAAGTTTTTTGATGCCATCATTAACAATTAGATTCACTATGTGAGCTACACACCTCACATGAGTCCATTTCCCCCCTAACACAGCTTTTCCTCAATTTTGAAGCTTTCCTCGTAAATATTGGACAACTACATCATTGGAGCTTGCATTGTCAACTGTGACAGTTAGGATATCATCAACTCCCCATTCTAGTAGACACTTTTCTATGGCCTTACCAACTTCAGTTCCCTTGTGACTGGCAATAGGACAGAAATTTAGGATCTTTTTGTTCAGTTTCCAATCATTATCTATGAAATGGGCAGTGAGGCACATATAGTTTATCCTTTGAATGGATGTCCAAGAATCTGTGGTTAGACAAATTCTGCCACTGTTATTCTTCAAGAGTTGTTTCAACTTAGTTTTTTCATCTAAATACAGCTGATAGCAATCTCTAGAAATAGTCCATCTCGAAGGAATTCTAAATGATGGACAAGCAGTCCGCATCATATATTGAAAGCCTCTACCCTCTACATGTTTAAATGGCAACTCATCAACAATTACCATATAAACTAAGCTTTTTCTAATGGCTTCCGCATCAAATTTCCAACTTATGAGTGCCCCTTTAACCTCCCCCGCTAAGGTTTCAGTTTCACCCAAACACAAAGTAGCCTGGCCAGTGTGCTTATTTTTAGGATTTAGAGGACATTTAGCTACATGAGTATTAAGGGGAGTCGTACCATGACTTTTGGGATCCGCAGCTATGTCCTTGTCACAGTACTTGCAAATTGCATGACGAACTCCATTCACATGCTTTACATGAAAATGATCCCAAGCTTTGGACTTCTTCTTGTACTCTCCTCTTTTCTTAGCAAAACCAGATTCTTCGCAGCTTTGTGTAGTAGGACTAGGAGGAAGAGTTCCAAATGATCCTTCTTGTTCCAGCTCATTGCGACTTGGATTACTCTCACCATCAGTAGTAGACATAGCTTCAGTATGCCAGCACTTGAAACCTTTGACCAGAACAAGGACACAGCGCAAAGATTTCACAAGTCAGAAAAGGTATATAATACTTTTTTCCCACTAACCTCAGTAGGTCTAATTTCATATCCAATCCAAGACTTTTTGTGAAAATTTGCTCATAGCTTCTAAAGAATAATACGACCCTGAAATCCATTATTCACATATTCAAAGTGGAAAAGTAGGAATAATCTCTAAAAGTATACAAATCCATCAAAATTTATGTGTTCATCTTAAACCTATTAGATAAATATGTAATACTACATGATTCTGAACCATCATTGGTTTCATGCATCAGATGAGTTCAGTAAGCTAAAACCAGAACAAAGCTTTAGACATTAATCAACATACTCAACCAGAACTGCACAACGACCATAGCTCAGAACTACTTTGTGAAATTGCAACTTCCAGACCAGCTTTTTTTTCCCGAAGCATATTACATTACATCTGATTATGAGAGAAGAAAAACCATTAAAAGAGTGGAAAAATCTAATTTTACAGTGGGACTATAAAGAGCATCAAAATTGGCAGAGACCTATTTGGGGCCTTACTGTCGAATCAATAGATAGGCTGCATACAATCAGAATCTACTGCTCAGTGACGGCAGTTCGATTTGTAAGGTCGTGCACTTGATGGACGATCTAACCGTAAATTAAGTAATTAACTAAATTCTCTCACTTCAAAAATTAAAAAAAAAAGCCATAAATGATTAATCCGACACAATAGTGGAGCATCAGCCAGGAAGAAAAAGCCATAAAAAATCAGTTCAATAGAACAAAAAGAACAGCCAGGAAGAATAATTCGATACAAAGGTAAATTTACACGCAGAATTCATTTGTTAGTTTCCATTTTAATAGAGGAAAAAAGAGCAAAATGGACAAAACAGGCCGAGCCCCAAAAGAAATGTGTGAGAAAGAGAGAGAGGGAGAGGAGACAAACCCTAAATCTTGGATCCCAATAACGTCTAGA